CAATCAATTTCTGCTAAGCTACCCTATACCTATCAAATCAAGATCGCAGTGAACTCGATCGCGGTCCACCATGTCATTGGTTGCGAGAATAATCTCGACCAATGACAGCCGAGAATGCGATCGAGCTCACTTCGAAAGTCAAACTGACAGTTACAGAAGACTATGAATTTCCCCTACATAAGGTAAGACAGGGACAGAGATACTTAGTTGAAATAATAACAATAGTAAGTAGTGGTATGACGTCGCCGTATGTATTAAAAACAAGATACTAGTCTGTGGTTTAGTCATAATATCTCACAGCTTCTTATAACGACATTATTTTGTTGAACCTTCCGTGTCTCAATACAAGCTATACATAACCAGTTCACGATGGTCTCACATTGTATGCTCTTTCTGCACATTCGGCGGTCAGTTTCTATTGGTTTTGAATAGATCGTTGTGTACACATGTGTGCGCAGAAGAAAGAGTATGTCTACAGAGAAGTTACCTATAAAGAGGTTAAAATAACAGCTATTGTTCGCAATTGCTGTGTGGGAAATATATAATATTGCCTTTTAAACTTCTAAGGAGCTAAGCAGAGGTGAACATAATTATATAATACGACAACCAGTCTTTATAAGTTATGTTATGTGTCCCAAATAGAGGGAGTGCTTATTGCAATACGCCCCCAGCGCCATTGCCATACGGTAACAATTCCAGTTTTTACTGAAAATTTTCCATCTATAAAATATCTTGTCTGCCTCGTTGGCCGAGTGGTCGCAAGTGCGACTGCCGGGCAAGAGGTCTCGGGTTCGATTCCCGGGTCGGGCAAAGTATTACTGGGTTTTTAAAAAATTCTCAGTAGTAGCACGGAGTGTGGAATTGTGCCCGGTATATGGCAATAGGCTCACCCCCTATTACATGGGACTCATAACATAAATAGTGAAAAGTGGGTGTTACATTTTACAGTGGTATAATGTGCACCTCTGCCTACCCCTTCGGGGATAAAAGGCGTGACGTTGTGTTAACATTTTTGTGTGTTGTTATTGTTGTTTGAAATAACTATCACTTTTATTTTGAGGGGCAAATTATTCCACCAATGACTTTTCCCGCCCGGGTGAGGCGAGAGAGAGTGTCAGACTCTTACTGACTTAAAAAACCACCCCGTTCCTATTCCTGCACTTCGAACGCGCCGCGTTACGCTCGGGATATAGGTAACTATCACTTGTATTGGGAGTTATGTTATAGACACATATATTATAAATTTTGTAAACAATAAACAAATCTAAACTTGCTCACATGGCAAACAGAGTTTATATTATTCACTTAGAAAATTATCTTCACTCTTAGAAAATTAAACACAGCTGTTTCTATTGATAATTATGATTGCCAGTCTGTGCACATGCACACGTTTAGTACAATGACTAAATGCACCTTACAAACGTGACTTATCATTGAATGATAGCTTCCTATTAAATAGGTGAAGGACAACACAGTCATGAATTTATTAATTAAATACTTTTATTGATAAAAGTATGGCGTTAATAAAAATGTATGAATGTATAATAAAAGGTTTCTGTGGGAGAATTAGGATAACAAAGATCATGATATAGGATGTCTAACGCGAATGTAGCGCTAATAGGAGAAGATGTCGAACTATTAGTTTCAATGTCGAAGGTTTTTTAACCTTTATGATGAGCTTGAGAATGCATGAAAAGATTGATGACTGTTGATGAAGCCAAAGAGTCTCTGCCTACCGCCATGGGAGACAGGCGTGAAGTTATGTATATATGTATAAGTTTCAAAAGCATTTTGATTTGATCTTTATGTGACTTTATTTACACGAAAAAGTTTAATAGGTACAGACATATCGATAATATTTGTTTCAAGTATTTTTATCCTGTTTGTCATACATACAGCTGTTAGTATGTATTTCAATTTGCGAAAGTCAAAGGATACAACATCAAACGATTTGTGTATGCAAAAACATTTTGAATTAATTGTATGCGATCAAAAAGAGAGGTGACTAAAATGGCTGTTGATTGCCAGTTCCCGAGTTTGATATCCGAGAGGAGCTAAGTTTATAGGTTATTATGTAGAATTACTTATAAGAAATTAAAGTAATTTATGTCCTGACTGTAAGTATCAATTGTCTTTATTGTTCGTATCGTCAATTTTAAGTATTTTTTTTTTTTTTTTTTTTAAGGGGGGAAAATCATCGAATGACTGCTCCCGCCTGGGTGAGGCGGAAGGGAGTGTCAGACTCTTACTGACTAAAAACCACCCCGTTCCTTCTCCTGCACGTCGAGCCGGAGCCCCGGTTACCCGTTAGGTTCTCCGCGACTCCGAATCGGCATCGGCCCTATTGGGCCCCATCTGTGGTGGTCTGATGGCTCTTTGAGGCGCGCGCGGAACGCGACGCGCCGTACGCTCGGGTCTGTTTCTGGTCGGACGGGGAGCCACCCATGCTCGCCGTCCGCAGGCCCGCGCTTACGGTGGCCGGAGATCGTCCCGCGATCCCCGACGCCCGGTGTGTCCTTCGCGATGGCTGGGTTGCGAGGAGGCAGCGCTTCGCTGCCTCACGCGTCCCGCCTCCTCCTTAGCCAGCATGACTGCTTCGCAAAAGGAGGAGACGGCATCCCAGTCCCCCTCGCTCCGCATCATGGCCTGAACTAGGCCCGGACGCGAGAGGTCTCCATCGCCGATCACTTCCCTGAGGGCACGGCGGTGCTCAGCCCACGCAGGGCATTCCGCAACAGTGTGTTCCACCGTGTCCTCAGGGTGGTCCTCGCAGTGATGACACCCGGGCGTTTCCTCCCGCCCCATCAGACACAGGTACCTCCCGAAACTTCCATGTCCGGTGAGGACCTGCGTCAGGCGGTAGGTGAGGACGCCGTAGCGTCTCTCAAGCCACTCCTCAAAGAGGGGACTTACCGCTGCAATGGCAGCGAGCCCACAATTTTAAGTATAACATTTAATTTGTCTCCGGCACTAATTCTTCTTAGTTATTTTGAATGTCAAATCCATGTCAACGGTTGTATTTGCCTGTGTCTGATCATAGTGATTTGTAAACCATTAAGTACATACATAATGCATGTTGTGCTTACCTATAATATATTGATGCACTAGTATTTAAGTTTTCGTAAATGTAACCCTACATTGTATAAGTGTAATCAATTGTTGGTGAGCCAAATCAATAAAATAATATTAAAAAAAAAAACAAAAAAAAACTAAACATTACGATATACGAAAAGACAATACGTACTAACACTTCTGACAACCATTTCTAAGAACAGCAGGTGTAATATCACATAACGATTATTACCCATAATAAGTATTAAAAAGATCACGATGACAGAATTCTGCTTACCTCACTGAATGATCCGCAAACGTATATTAATGACTTAATTCGGAGAAACAGGTTGCATTGTCAAGTTTTAAGTATTCAACATTATATTTTGTAAACTAAAACTTATTTTTGTTTTGTACATTTGTCCTTCATTAAAGAATTTAATATGATATAGGATAGATGTCGCCACGTGCATTTTCGGAACGATAACTGTAGTTGAGTTTGATACGATACGATGAAAGTCGCGAATTTTGATATAATCTAAAATATTTTCTTTTATGAAACGTTACCCCACACTAGGATTTTTTCCTGTGTCGGGGGTGCGTTTACAAATATTCAAGTTTACATACAAATGGCACCCAGGCCCGGAACAACAATCTGTGGATCACACAGAGTTATTTGGTGCGGGAATCGAACCCGCGACACGTTGCGTGGCAGCCAGTTGCCCAACCACCGCGCCAACCGTGCAGTCAAATACTAATACTACGTAAAAGATCTGGATGAAAGGCACTGAGGTAGTAAGATATGATTGTAGTTTGAAAATACACATATCCTTATTTTTACAAGGTGGCGCGGGCGCAGTCATTCTTTGAAGTTAGAGTAAGACAATGTTTATTTAACTTTACGAGAAAGAAACAGCTTCTTACTATATATACACATACTAAAAGACTTTTTGGTAAAATTATTAGGTAAGTACAGACACTTTTTACTAACCAAACAATAAAAAACAATATTAGTTTATATCCCAGTAAATATCATCATAAAATATTAATGTACCAAAATATTAATATTTAACATCAATACAGTAAAACTTAATACAAATATTTATGCAGTCTGTCGGTTGCACCTAATTGGCAACCATCCAAGTCCGGTTTAAACGCAAATTTTCACGGATATCGTTATGTTCAGCTGCGTTTGCGCAGTGCGCGGGCGCACGTTTTTAGATCAAAAGATGCAGATGTCAATTAGAAAGTTCATGTTAATAATTAATCGAGCTTCAGGACTCTAATTTGTATATTTCTTAATGACATTATTTATATGAATTGCATTTTTTACTGAAAATATTGTCAGATTTTTTTCTCGGCAATACTTACGCTTTTATATCCATTTCACCAATATGTTTCTAAAATAAATAAAAAGTCAAACACGCATGGAACAAAGACAATAACCATGTATCGTTCTAATGAACGTCCTACCAAGTAAATTCAGTAAATGGTTACATTTTTACTGAACAATTCCGCCTCTATATGCGCCGAATGCGTACTCGTTTCGATTACTTTAAACCTAAGACAAACTTGTACAAAGCCCCCTGATTGTAATCGCAGTACAAAGAGTAATAATCAGTTTACATTCAGTACACACATTAAATACACGATGAAGTAACAATTGTTTTATATCTCACTGTAAAGAACCCAAACGTAATCGTAATTGGTAATTTTGTTGTTACTGTTGTTTGAAAACTTTTTACTTATTTTTTTTAACGTAACGTAACACTAGGATTTTCTCCTGTGTCGTGGGTATGTTTACAAACATACAAGTTCACATACACATCACATTCAGACCCGAAACAACAATTTGTGGATCCGTGCGGGAATCGAACCCGCTACACGTTGCGCACCAACCGTGGAATCAAAAAGCGTGTAGACGCTTATAGTAGTCTGCAATGCAAGGACTACGCGTGTAGACTTACGACTTCAATTTTTCCTTGTTCTGTGGTTTTCATCAATAGATAGTACTTTTACTTTAGGAAAAAATAGGTGCATAATTTTTTTATGATTTGCAGGCGGAGTCGCGAGTGTTTAGTAAATAAATAAGAAAAAAACTTACCGGTATCTCCGACAGCTTGGCTGAGCGTGTTTTCTGTGACAGGTCGCAATGCTTCTACGGCGCTAATGTAGCCCAAACGGTCGGCTATAGCACAAGCCGTTTGTCCATTCTATACAAAAGAATATCATTGCACGTTATTAATTTAAATCAGACAACAACAAACAATTGATTAGGTTATACGACCGGCACCCTTTATTTGTAACTGTTCGATGAGGTTGCTCTACTGGTTTCAAGCCACAATGGGGGTCCATAATCAAGAGCAGAACACGCGAAACACATCGAGTATCCCCACCAAAAAGTTACGTGAATAATTAATTTGCCTGACAATAGTGATAATATTTTAACATAAAAATCTCTAAAATATAGAAGGGTTAAAAATAATTAAAATATTATTATTTTGCTGTCCATAAATTTTTATCTCATCCGGTCATAGATCGAAATGAAATTTTAATCGTAATATCAATATTCTCAATAAAGTTAAAAAGAAACGCTAAATTTTATGAAATTAAAAATTAGACAGAATTTTAAGCAAATTTGTCTAAATTATAATTGAATGACCTATGAAAATACAAACATTAAATACGAACTTGTAATATTACAAGTAGACATTGCATACAATGAGTGGCTACTTATAAATCATGTAAATTGATTTGCAATCAGTGTTTTTCCCGATACTACATACACTGGTAAATAAAGTGGACTGACGTACACGTTTATTTATTACTGCTCATTGACTTATGTATAAAAATATTTATTACTCAATGAATAATAATTGTAAGCTGTCACAGATTTTATGAACCAAGAAGAAGTTAATATGTAATTACTTTAATATCAATTACTTTTATTAACTTTGTTCTTATTGCTTTCTTTTATAATATTTACGCGGTATTAGATAAAACTTTTTACGTAAAGAAATAACTGATACGAGTATGTATGCTTATCACTCGAACTCGAACCGACCCACGGTATATTACCTGAGAGAATTACCGGAACCTCTTCAATTTCTATCTTTTCTATGGGATAAACCGGTAAGGAGGCGTCCATAAATTAGTTAAGATGTTTCAGAGGAGAAGGGGTCGATTCAATATCATCCAATCTTAAGTTGGAGAGAGGTAGGCGGTGCTTCACGTCGGTTTTCTCCGCGGCCGTGGTATCACTCCGGTCGACCCGGCCTATTCGTACCGAAGCATGGCTCTCGCGCACTTAATAGATGTGTGGTGCCATCAATCTTCCCAAATATAATATTCTAAATGCGAAATGTCTGAATATTGAAACGTTACTCAATTTTAAGTCGTGCTTAAATATCGTGTCATCTCTGTCATTTTACAAAGAATTTGTGGAGACAGAACTATACTTAAGCGCGACTTAAAATTCAGTAGTGTTTGAGTATTCTGACGAAAGTGAGTTTTTAACCTCATCAAGCTTTATTTCAACCGATCTTCTTAAAACTTTGGAAGCCCATAGTTCGGAGTATGGAGAAAGTCGTAGCCTAAAATGGGGGTAAAAGATTGAAGAAGTAGAAGGTAAAAGAAGAAGTAATTGATAAAGCCACTTACAGCAGAGAGAGCGTTGGGGTCAGCATTCTGTTTGAGCAGTAACTGTATGATGAGTGTGTGGCCTTGCTGTGCCGCCTGGTGTAGTGGAGTGAACCTGGAAACATTCATATGTTAGATGTTTTACGTATTTTCCTATATATAAGAAACAAGAAAACCTAAGAGTTCATGTTATGAGAACTAAATATTGTATACTTTCAGCACTCTTGGTACAATCCATTGTTCTAGGTACATTTCCTGCAGCTACTGTATCGTATTGCAGTATTTATATATACCAATTATTTAAAAATACGGCTCCCGGCTAAAGAACATTTCTACTTACTAGTTTCAAGTCACACTGGAGCCCTAATGAGCAGGGTGTCAATTTATATTCGAATATTTCACTAGAATAATTTTAAAGACGTTAATTTAATCAAATTAATATGACTGACTTGACATTTTATTAAAATTTAATTTATCTAATACTAATTTGATTATAATGTAAATGATTCATACATTTTAATTTATTTTATTTAATAATACTTATATGCGCCATGTTTCACGGCAAAACATGCTGTTCACAAACATTTTATTCAAAATCTTGATACCTACCATGTTTTATGCAAATAAATGATTTTGATTTGATTTCACCAAAGTTATCAACACTTTATTTTTATATTTGATGGGCCGACGTTTGACCACTATCTCGCCTGGTGGAAAGCGATGATGCTGTCTACGATGGAGCACGTAGTTCCTTAAGCAACCTATTAACTCGGGCCTTGTAGACACCCAGATTATATATACTTCAGGAAATACAGACTCAGGCAAAGAATTTCAGTTTTAGCAGTACGCACAAGAAAGCTTGAAGCGAAGCGCTTCGTGCGTGTGGGTGGGACATCTACCATGAATCGATGACGCTTCGCCGATTGTCTTGTGGTACGATGATGGGAAGGAAAAGGAAAGGACTAAACAGAAACAAAACATAATATAAAATAGAACATACCCATGAGCAGCCCTAGCAGTGACATCAGCGTTGGCCGCCAGCAGAGTCTTGGCGGCGGCGTGGTGTCCGTGGTGCGCCGCGGCGTGCAGCGGCGTGTACCCGTCCCTGGTGCGGGCGTTGACCTGCCCGCCCGCAGACATCAGCGCCTTCAGCACGCCCGTACGACCTTCGGAAGCTGCTAGGTGGACTGGTGTTAAACCTGGCGACGAAATTAGTTTTGTATTACACGACACGCGTTTGTTTACACTGTGAGTTTTCACTTTGTTTTCGGAATGTTTTATTTATTAATAGCGTAATAATTATTTATCTAATTTTGATACAATAAATGCCTCGTTGGCCGAGTGCTCGCAAGTGCGACTGCCGGGCAAGGTATCTCAGGTTGGACAAAGTACTATTGGGGTTTATTAAAACATTCTCAGTAGTAGCACGGAGTTTGGAATTGTGCCCGGTATTTTGCAGTAGGCTCACCCACTATTACATGGAAAGTGAAAAGTGGGTTTTACATTGTATAGTAGCTTGAAGTGCCGTAATGAGCACTTCTGCCTACCCCTTCGGTGATAAAAGCCGCGATGTTATGTGTAAATACAATTCCGATTGTCGGGTGTTGACTTCTAAGTGGGGTATAAATATTATTTTTTTAGATCTGTCTATAGAGATTTGTAAAGAGTTGCAGATACAATGTGCGTGAACTTTTCAAACGAAAGGTAGATCTTAATTAAGTAGATAATAGAATATAATAATTAAAGTTAGTTGCATTGTGGCCGCAACGCTAAGGGCTTGACTTCGGTATTTCGAACTTTAAAACACTCGTTTTCAAGCCAAGTTGTATAGTCGTAACTTGCTACAAAAGGCTCCTACCATTATTAGCGGGTACATTGACATCAGCCCCTCGTTCGATGAGCATCTCGACGCAATCCTCGTGTCCTTCCTGTGCTGCCATGTGCAGTGGAGTGAAACCTGCCTTCGACTTCACGCTGGGATCCGCGTCTACAAGAGAAAAAGGTTATACTATAAGTATTTTATTTAAGAAAAAGTATGGGAAGAAAAATGTTTGGTTGTTCCAAACTTGGCTTCGTATATATTTATACACTTCCCAGTTATAAGAACCGTACTTATACTCGTCGTCTCATAACATCTACACGTAATAAACTTTTACAATTTAGATGCTAAAATATGTTTATCATTGAAGGGGTCTATATCTAACAATAAACGTTATATGGCTGACATTATGATGACAAACCAAGCCTAAAAACTTATCTTGTATATCATTATTATAACCTTTATTTATTCTTTATTTTAATCCTCAGTTTTTAAATTATAAGATCTCTTCTTCTTAGTTTCTAAATAATTATAGGTAACATGTCTACTCACCATGTTCAAGTAACGCGAAGGCGATATCTGGGTGGTTGTGTCGGCAGGCGATGTGTAGAGCGGAGTGTCCGTTCTTCGCCAGAGAATGTGGAGACGCTCCTACAAACACACTCTAGCTTACTAACTAGCTTCTACATCACACATTAAGAAGTCAAATCGGTAAATAAATGAAGCTATTCCTATGAAGATAATGAACAAGAAATACTTATATACCTTCATTCAATGTAGTCTGATAAATTTAACTGTCTTGTCTTTAAGTTTATTATTAAACTATATTATACGTATGGTGATACTCAACCAAAATGTAGTAAGTCAAAAGTATTGACGACTTGAAATAACTATGGATATGATGATACTATGAAATTATGAAATTCTTCTCAGTCTATATTCGATTTGAGTTTAATGAAGTGTCGTTAGAATTAATACTATTTCTAGCACACGTTGTCACAAAATAAAAAGCAATCTAGAGTAAAATCTTAGCATTGACTTGACTACTAAGAGTAGGCGTTCGATAAACGTATTTGCCGTGCAGACGCCATGACTATGCGACATACGTTTATCAAATGCCTGTGCTGGACAAACTCTAGTTTAAAGAAGTTCTTAATATTGTTGTGCCCTTATGTAGTCCATCAATGTATGTAAGCTTTATTAACTTTTTGGTATGTAAATAAATGAATTACATTGAATATTATTTTCTAAAAACTATACTTGAAGAAAGTGCAACACGTCGATATATTAATTATGGAAAGTTACCTTTATCCAGCAACAAGAGCGCGATGTCGGGGTGTCCGTAGTAGGTGGCCATGTGCAGCGGCGTGATGTGAGACCGTCCGGGCGCGTCGGGCGCGGCGGCCTGCGCCAGCAAGAGGCGCGCCACGCCGGTGTCGCCGTACTTGGCGGCCAGGTGCAGCGGGGTGAACCCCTTGCGGGTCTCGGCTTCTATCGCTGCGCCGTGCTCCAGGAGGATCGATGCTACTTCTTCTTTGCCTGTGTGGTTAGAAAGAGGGCTTGTAAGATCCAGTCTGTTTGATTTCTTTTTGTTAATGCGCATTGGTGTGCTTTCTTATTTCCTAACCTATATATACATTGTTACATGTATGTAAAGTGTTCTACATGTATCCAACTATGTAAACATGTATACATGTGTTGGTTTTGTAATATTGGTGACTGTAAAAAATAATATTGTTAATGCTCGCGACCACAAAGCCTGTGGTACAGATTTAATTCTATACAGGCATAGTATTGTAACCTACCTAGAATAATTAAATAATAAGCTTAGATTAAGTATATGTGAACAAAATGGAAATAAATATATTTGTTGTTGTTGTTGTTGTTTCTGAATTGATTTGATTAGTTTAGTAAATGTAACTTCATCTTATGCAAACGTGGTTATTTGTGCTCTGTCCTTCTGTGGGTGAAAATGCCTTTTTTTTGAAGACGTAGAACAGTTATAGACTAAAGATGAGATATACTAAGCTTCAAGTGAATCGGTATGAGACATTTCGTATGTAAAAGAGTTTAAATATATTTTGTTTTAAAAAATGAATTACCTTCTTTAGCAGCAATATGTAGCGGCGTGTACTTGTCCTTGGTGGTAGCCCCGACGTCGGCGCCATGTTGCACCAGTAGCGCGGCTATATCGGCGTGGCCCAGTCGGGCTGCCACGTGCAAGGGGGTCTGTTCTTCACGAGCTCGGGCATCCACCTGGTACAGATACATTTATTTTAAAGAGGATATACTATTTATATTTGGAAGGTTCTAATTGAAAAGTCTTGAAACACGGATCGAAAAAATGCAGGTTGATTTTCGGTTAATCCGACTTGAAGGACCAGATGTTCTATGGAACTCTATGACCTTGGACATGATACTTTTGAATTTAGCTAAACGACTCCTGATCTTTGTTTTAGACCATAAAAATTGTTTTCTATTTACTATTCACAACACTAAAATTTTGTTACCTTCATATCAAGAACAACCAAGAACGATATAGTTTTTAATAATTGCCTTGATTGATTTTATTGTTCTGGGAACTATAACGAAGTTTAACCATTCTGAACCTTAAAGGATAGAAGTTACAGAACATTCTCACCTTAGCATTATTCCTAAGCAGGACCCTGACGAGATCAGTTTGATGCGCCCTGGCAGCGAGGTGTAGAGGAGTCTCTCCGCGCGCGGTGGCGGCGTCGGCCGGGGCGCCCGCGCCGATGAGTACGAGCGCTATGTTCATGCAGCCCATGAACGACGCCACGTGGAGCGGGGTCAACCCTGACTCTGTCGTTGCTGATTTACCTGGAAAGGGGACATTATAGATATGTGATTTGGTGGAGTTTGAACAGAAATTATTAATAGGCAAAATAAGATGAAAGGTATTGTTTATTCCTTATAAAATAGACTGCTTCGTTGGCCGAGTAGTCGCAAGTGCGACTGCCAGGCAAGGGGTCTCGGGTTCGATTCCCGGGTCGGACAAAGTATTACTGAGTTTTAAAAAAAATCTCAGTATTAGCACGTAGTATGGAATTGTGCCCGGTATATGGCAATAGGCTCACCCCCTATTACATGAAACCCATAATATAATAGTGAAAAGTGGATGTTACATTGTACAGTGGTATAATGTGCACCTCTGCCTACCCCTTCGGGGATAAAAGGCGTGATGTTATGTGTTATATGTAAAATGGATCTATAATTATTTTATTTATTTTTATTTTTAGCCATGGTCGTTTCACTGCAGGGCAAAGGCCTCCTTATCCTCCTTCCACTCAGACGAGTGATGACGACGAGAATTGGCCACTGAAAACTTTAAGAAGAGACCTTCTTAAAGTTTTCAGTGGCCAATTCTTTTCATAATAATAATACTGCTGTGCACAATTCTAAAATCAGTAAGCAATAATGACCGATCAATCGTACATGCGTTCCTTCGACCATATGCCAACCTAGTACTTTGTTCAACTGACAACTTTATTATCTTTGAATAAAGTCTAAAATCCAATTTCAGAAATTGACAAACTGGAGTAGGTTGGTTTGCTGACGTCTGAACAATCATAGTAAAAAGAAAATTAAACTCACTAGCGCCATATTTGAGCAGTAACTCGACGACTTTGAGCCTATTCTTCTTGCAGGCGATGTGTAATGGAGTAAACCCGTTCAATGCCCGAGCATTCGCGTCCGCATTCCTGTCTAGAAGTAGCTTTGCCACCTGTAAAAAAATAATATTTGACATTTTAAAATCAATCTTAAAGAGTTACTGATAGAGTTGACAATAGTTTGATAGTTGTCTCCGTAAATACAATTAAATAAACGTCACATTTAAATTAAATGATCAACTAAATGCAATGTAAAATTGATAAATTTCTTGTAAAATTTTGGTCTATGTCTCATTATCATTATGGCCATTCGAAACTCGAATGTATTTCTTCGTGTTTAAGATCCACTTCAGGTTAACGTAGCCACACCACACCATACTTACAAAATTATCGCAGACTCATTTAGATTTAGACGCTACACTCATAGTAATTAGGCTCAAATTACCTTAACATGTCCACAATGAGCAGCAACATGTAAAGCTGTCAAATAGTCGACAGTGACGTCATCGATGGGAGCGCCCTCTGCTAGTAAAACTTTGGCCGTCTCCACGTGTTCGCCTTGTACGGACATGTGGAGAGGGGTCAAACCGTTCTGTAAAGGAAACAAGGTAAATTGAACTTTAGTGCTAGATGCGTTAAGGTTTATATTGATTTGTTTAGGCATGACAAGTTTAAGACGGGTTTTATTTTTTAATATTGACAACTTGATTATAAATATATTTGTATTAAGAATGCAGTAAGTCATCATTGTCCGTCAGCCTAGATGCGTTCCCTATACTGATTTTAAATCTAGAATTTTAGACTGCCTCATTAGCCGAGTTGTCGCAAGTGCGACTGTCGGGCAAGGGGTCTCACGTTCGATTCCCTACTAGGTTTTAAAAAATTCTCAGTAGTAGCACGAAGTCTGGAAATCTACCCGGTATATGGCAATAGAGTCACCCCTATTATATGGGCGTTGTAATATACATGTTACATTGTACAGTGGCCTCAAGTGTAGTAATGTGCACCTCTGCCTAGTCCTCCGGGTATAAAGGCGTGATATGTTATGTTATCTGGACAAGGTTCTATTTTCTGCACTCTATACTCTCAATGTATCTTACCTTAGTCTTGCTAGTAATAGGCGCGCCATGTTGGAGTAGCCTCGCGACGACATTGCTGTGCCCGGAGCGCGCGGCGCAGTGCAGCGGAGTCAGGCCGTCCCGAGTCACCGCCGCTATGTTAGCTCCTGTAGGTAAATAGTTTCGTAATTGTTATTTTATTACTGCTCCAGATATACAGGGTTACAGGTTAATTTGACCTAAATCATTTAAGAGGAAGTATGCATCATTCCTGACCGATTTGACTAAGGATATTTCAAGTTTTTTCCAAGAATTCTAACTTTACCCTAGTATGATAAACCTTATTAGAAAGCTGAGAAATCGTAGATATTTTATCAAACATCTGAAGAAAATATTTCTTAGAAAACAAAACCTTATCACAAAATGTTTATTTTAATCCTTCGTCTACTACGCCTCTGTTGGTATAGTCACTTGCAGTTTTGTAATTCCTAAATAAAAATAGCATAAAACAGTACAAAATCCAAAAAATGGGGGCAATTGTCAAAAATCTGGAATTTTTATAAAAGTAATTCCATTGTCTTATGGCTGATTTGATGATGATTTAGACGATTTTAAACACAAAAACACTTTTTATCGGTTCGGTGATAATATAGTAGTATTATGGAAAGGTATTAGCGCCGCCGATGGACATTCGCAACATCAGAAGAGTTTTATAGTGCGTAACTGACCTTTTAGGAGAGTCTAGAGGGGAAGGACACATATTTTATTTAAAAAAAAGTTGTCACAAGCCAATCAATATGAAATAACATCCGTAAGTAACTTAACTGGCTCAAGTAATGTTAGTTAGGGAATATTTTTTTCATACCCACATCGTTCAGGTATTAGCAATGTGTCTTGTGTTAAAATGACAGTGTAACTTTATACAAATTGCCTAACTTTCATGTACCACATTCAACTAAAAAAATTAAAGAAGAAAGATGGCGGCACCTATCAAATAAATGGCGGGCAATTTCTTAACCTCACTTTTCACGTCAACTACGTTGCAAGCGAGACAAATTGCCAAATTATAAAACGAAATTCGTATAAAATTGTACTTTATCGTATCCGTCAATGTCTGTGGCTGTCAAATGTATGCTGGATGGCATGATGGCCGACTGATGTTTGATTGACAACATATCGTGAATGTTGCCCAATTAAAGCAACATTCCTACAATATGATATTTCAATCACATACGAAACATAATTAGTCGCGTGATAACAAAAAAATAATGAGAACACATCACATCACATCACATAACATCACGCCTTTTATCCACCATTATTATATACACCAGGCAGAGGTGCACATTATACCACTGTACAATATAACACCCACTTTTCACTATTTATGTTATGAGTCCCATGTAATAGGGGGTGAGCCTATTGCCATATACCGGGCACAATTCCAGACTCCGTGCTACTACTGAGAATATTTAAAAACCCCAGTAATACTTTGCCCGACCCGGGAATCGAACCCGAGACCCCTTGCCCGGCAGTCGCATAATAATGAGAACATATGTAATTATTGAGTCACGGCGATGAAAATATAACGGATGATTTATGTGATTTTATAATACTATTAGTAAATACGTTTAATTATCGTTAAATGGTACAATTTCGACGAGAGATCCAACAAATGTTTTACAACTAGCAATAAATGTACCAAGTAATTAACAGTGGTGATTAAGCGACTGCTTAATTTAAAAATACACTCTAAAAATGTTTATTTATTATTACAAGCGTGCAAAATCCCGACCCGCCTGGAGAAATTCTCATTGGGTATTTCAATTAAAACTTAAATATACCTACATATGTATTTGAGTTGTTGTATTTCATCTGATATTATGACAATAGCAAGGTGCATATAGATTGACAGTCGACATAATGCCGTTGGCAATATCTTCCATTAACATATGACTACTCAATCCAACATATTACAAAAGTTGAGTAAAATCAACGTCTCATGACAGTTCCTTATTTAACTATAATGTTCCTCTTTAAATCTGGACACTGGCAGTATAGTCGACAAAATTGAATAGGCGATTCGGTTGCTATTCAAAAAAAAATTCTATGATTGTCAGGCGGGTTGGGAATCGCGATTTAATAGGTTGAGGTTTATCAGAGACCGTTGCTGTCCAGTATCTGTTCAATGAGCAGTCTCTTAGACATCTCTTACGATTCCATAGAGAAGAGGTAATGAGTGACAGTAGTAAACGTCACTCTGCCGTTCCCATACGGTATAAAGGTCTTTAAGGAACAGAGTGGAAAGTTCCCTAAGATCGGAAAAGGAGGATCCTCCGACCAGGCGAGGTGATCGTGCCTGGCGGGCTTTCTACCCGACAGTTGTTCGTTGGGATTTTCTATTCGTGTTAATAAGCTTGTAAACTTAGCATGTAGGATTCTTGTGACGTCATCCGTTGACACGTGACATGTGTCGCCACAGGTCATTTTGTAAACCCATAATTATGTATGAATATTGAAGTATTCCCTTACCATTCTCCACAAGCAGATCCAGCATAGCCAGTTGTCCCCATTTGCTGGCGACGTGTAGAGGCGTGATGTTGTGCTTGGCGGCGCGGCCCGCGTCTGCGCCGGCGGCCAGCAGCGCGCGCGCGACGCCCACGTTGCCGTAGTGCGCCGCTATGTGCAGGGGCGTGAACCCTGATTTCGAACAGGCGTCTGGGTTGTGTTCGTTCTGGAAATATTAAATTAAGTGTACTTTAGAAATTCATCATTAACAACTGTTCACCGATGGACCTCCTTTAACAAGAGTGTCAGCTTTGCCAGGGGATTGGAGATCACTTTCAAAAGTCAAGAGCCTATAGCTGTTCACTGCTGGACCTGGCCTCGTCTAAACAAGAGTGCTCGCTTAGGGGATTGGAGATCACTTTCAAAAGTGAAGGCTTTAAGAGGTTTTCGAAGTCGAAGTGTAATACATGGTGAGTGTAAACGGAATGCTCTCGAATAACACATCATACACAAGAGAATAGTTATTAGCCTAAATTTAAATTATTAAACACAAAAAAAATCCCATAAATAGAAACCTATTTGAGATGAACTCACAATTGGAACAAACAGAACTAAATATTATGACAACAAAGATTGATCAATTAAAAACACAAAAAAAAATAATAGCATCTCATGATTTAAAACAACATTACCTATGTATTATTAGAATGAGTGAGATGAGAGAACGAGAGAGAATGAGTGATCATAATAAACAAGTTTTATTTTTATAATAGTAAGGAATTAAATGTTTCTTTTATGTAATACTTGTAATCAACTGCTCAAAGCTGATGCTGCATGAATGACGCGAAAACAAAAACAATTAAATTTGTAAACAATTTCTTTTTGTCAGCGTCTCGGGAGCGTTCCGATTACACCCTATATATTTACCTGTACCTACCGGCGTCGGAATTATGTTGGTATATAAAGAAGTAAATAACAACAGGACTCAACATTAACTACAGGACATTTGTTGCTACATGGATCCAATGAAGAAATAACCAGCTTCATGATATTACCTCAAGCAACAGCGTAGCAGCTTTGACGTCATTCTTCTTCGCGGCGATGTGTAGCGCAGGTAATCGAACCTTGCCCCTCGTGTCTGATTCCAGTAGTTCAGCGACTACTCGGTCGTGTCCTTGTTGCATTGCGACTGCGAGAGGAGTGAAGCCATCCTGGAAAGAGGGAGAAGAAAAGTTTATTTTTAAATAATTCTTACAAAATATTTAATTACGCTTTGCCTAAGTTAGGAAATGAAAATCAATCCTTGAAATTAATTGTGGTTTACATAAGTTTGGTGAATATACGGGACATATCACATATGTAACTGATAAAAAGTTGTTACAGTTTATGCTCTGAGTACCAAGCACGAATAACTATCGCATTCGTATCGTAACAGTATCGAGGTAAGGGTTCTGATTGGTTGGTTCACTTGAGCCGGCCAATCAGAGCGCCGAATACCATTTCACGAGGTTACACTATCACGTGTCTCAAATCCATACATTGGTCACAAAGAATAGCATTTACGTGACAAATGCAATTGCAATTTTTGCCTTTTGAGTTTCAACCGCTTATGCAAAATGGGGTGTTATAATTTAAAAATCGTTGACCACAAATTTATTCTTATTGAAAAATATTTTTCTCAAGTTATCTACGAACGTAAAGTTTTCGTCGTCTGAGAGAGGCGCTGTTTGTTTCTCTATGCATATGTTGGTTTCGTAATGACGTTGTGTTAAATAAATATATGGTGATTTATATGAATTCTGGAAAGCGTTTTTTTTTTTTGTGAAATATTGCCTAATTTCCACAATTCTTATTAGGTATACCTATCAATGCCTCACCTCTGTAGCAAGGGTCTGACTGGCTCCAGCTGCCAGGAGCATTTTGACGCATCCAGCATGGTTCTCTTGTGCCGCCATGTACAGTGGAGTGAAGCCGGCCGCTGATTGGGCGTCGGCCTTCGCCCCCGCCGCCAGTAGCGCCCGCGCTACTGATTCTTGCCCCGCAAGACATGCTATGTGGAGTGCTGTGTTTCCTGAAATAGGAAAAGGTATTTTTTGATATTAAAATTAATTTGTTAGCAGTGCATTAAAAGAGAAGATAACATAACATCACGCCTTTTATCCCCGAAGGGGTAGGCAGAGGTGCACATTATGCCACTGTACAATGCAACACCCAGTTTTCACTATTTACGTTATGAGTCCCATGTAATAGGGGGTGAGCCTATTGCCATATACCGGGCACAAATCCAGACTCCGTGCTACTACTGAGAATTTTTTAAAAACCCAGTGATACTTTGCCTGACCCGGGAATCGAACCCGAGACCCCTTGCCCGACAGACCACTCGGCCAACGAGGCAGTCAGGCAGTTAAAAGAGAAGATCTTATGATGTAATAGGTCTTGAAACATAAATATCACTGTGTCTTCTGGGTGTACGTAACAAGCCATGATTTTTTTTAAGAATTCAAATCATATCACACGGTTCGAAGTTTCATATGATTAGATTAGATTATTCATCCTTTTGATAGGATTTAGCCTTTTATTATTGAAAAGAAATTTACCTTTTTTAGTAGCCGCGTCTACTGTTGCACCTCGCTTTAGTAACTCCTCGACCACAGAGATGTGTCCATCTTTAGCGGCGAGGTGAAGCGCATTCAGCCCGTTCTGAGAACAAGAAAACAATATACTAATTAACTTGAATTTACAAAGCCACCCTTTCTTTTGATGATAGGGAAGAACCTTCAAAAAAATAAGATCAGGGATTATAACATTATTTAGCTCACTAAAATCATGTTTTAACCCGTCGAGCGTCCGCGTTCCTTATGATCCAACATGCACACGTGACATTTGGAGAAAGAAAGAAAAAAATTGCATTTATTTGGCCATTGACACACGAAAACAAGGATCATTACAATAGAAATAAAAATAATAATAGATTTTATAAAAGAGAAAGCACCATGGAGCATTTTTTCTTATGGTCCACCGGGTGCTCATAAGGACGCTCGAGGGGTTAATAATTAATTACTAAGCTTTTACACTGAGCCCTCTAAATATACTCTAGTTCTGAAGCCCCAACTGTGCAACGCCTCAAAATAAACCAATTTTTTCAATGAATTTATTGCGTGTGTACAATCCTTGTTATCTAGTATAGCTAACACAACAACTGGCGTTTATCAAACTGGCGAATCCTTACTAATTTTATAAATCGGAAAGTGAGTTTGTTTGTTTGTTTGTTTGTTCCACTTTCACGCCGTAACTACTAAACCGATTGCTTTGAATTTTTGCAGACGTAAAGTTAGAAGTCTGGATTAAATAATAGGGTATTTTTTAACCCGGAAAAATTTGATATTCCCGAGGAAAAAAACAAAAGTATTGGTATAGATGGCGCTGTCATGTGTACCTATATGTCACGCTACTTTTTATCCTTTTGTGACGCGAGCAAAGCCGCGGGTAAAAGCTAGTTTTAAGGCCGCAATATTGAGACATGACTTTCATAATCTTAGGTTTACGCACTTGTTTAAGAGCCCATTAAACATTGTTGACTTGACAATACACGACAACGATGCGGGAACAAGGAACTTTCGGGTGAATACACAATAGATCTCTACAATGTATGACATACTGACAGTTAGGTATAATAAATCAACATATAGATGTTAGCCCGTAACACTACTGGGCTTGGAACTCCTCTATAATAAGAGGGTTTGCCATTATCTCCACGCTGGTCATGCATGATGGAGATCACAGTTTAAAAGGTTCAGTTTTACCAGAGAATACTGTTACCCGGTTCCTATCGTATATGTAAGCCCTTAGTCTTTTTTTATATTTGATGGGTCGACGTTTGACCACTATCTAAGCCTACCAAAGTGTAAGAGAGCCATGCTTCGGCTCGACCGGAGTGATACCTCGGCCTCACGCTTGCGTTGTGTTTTATCGTGTGAGTGAGGTTACCGGAGGCCCAATTACCCTCCCCTTCCCCAATCTCCCCAATCCCTGAATCCCCAACGATCCTCAAACTATTACCCCAAAAGGCCGGTAACGAACTTGTAACGCCTCTGATGTTCCAGGTGTCCATGGGCGACGCCGATTGCTTACCATCAGGTGATCCGTCGACATATATTCCATAAAAAAACTATCTCACCTGGTGGTAAGCAATGATACGGTCTATGATGGAGCACGTCGGCCCATAAGCAACCTATTCACTCGAACCTTGAATACAGCCAGGTTATACCCTTCAGGAAATACAGACTCTGGCAAAGAAGACGACTCTTATAATACGCTCGTGAACAGGAGGGGTGGCGACGGATTCACAACTAAGTATGCCGCAGGTAAACAATATTATTGCAATATGTTATATTGCAATTTAGAGTCTTTTAGCAAAAACTATAAATCCCGTTACTAAGTACAGCACCAATGCCCCACCAATTGTACAGGATATTATGAAAAACAGGTTTTCAGTCTGCTAGAAACAATAGACCACGATAAATGCTAATATATGCTGAGTACTTCAGTAGCACAACAAAACAATAGGTAATTACAGTGAGATTGCTGCTAGATAAATTGTGAAAGGCGGTTCAGAAGGATTCGTCCTAAAACAGCCATACCGGTTGTTTATAACATGAGTTTAAACATTTGTCTACTCGTTTCAAAAAGAAAAATTTAATGTCAAAGAGTTATGATTTCCCGCCAATACATTATGACATTTGCACATCGTCCATTGCCGCTTTTGGCTTAAGTACAAATTCAACAAGTTATGTATAGGGGTACAAATCGTGTGATCAAAAACTAGGTGTATTCATTTCATACCGATTTTTTTGTAGTACAGTAAATTTACCATTTCGTTCCAAAACAACATAAGGCTTCAATGAAACATAATACAGTTAACTAGAGCGAAAAATATTACAATCATGATGATGTTATGATTGAGCTTGATTCTAAATGATAAAATCAAAATTATTACATCTACAGTTTACCACACTATACTTCAATTAAAATGACACGCACGCTTCCTGTATCTGCTGACTCTGGTTAACAAAACAAATAATTTTATTTGAACTATACTTAAAATTGAAATCCAAATTGCCCAGTTGGTAAGCGTAAGTCCCATTTGCCCAATCACCATAGCACGCCCGAAGACAGAGAGAGAAAAGAGAGCAAGAGACCAAAAGCGATACCAGCGCCATTATCGCGCGAAAACTCAATTTAAATTTGCATTGTCGTTGTTGCTTTGTCGCTAACTGAACCACTCCACTATAACCACTTATGTAACAACCTGGAATTGAAACCTTGAACGTGTCCCCCTTCTGTCAAGCATTATCAGGCATCCAGACTAGATGATTGGATGACACGGTGACTGACAGTTCCGCATACAGAATTACTGCACACGATTCGCTCAATAGCACTGTCCGTAGCAAAGTTTTGCACGCAAATTAAATCACTCCGGTTTAACAAACTTGACGTTCGATTTGAAAAACGTATAACTTCACATTGTTATACCTCTAGAATTTTTTAGAAAACCCATTTATAATTCGTTTTTTTGTTTTGTACTTTTTGCAAATTGAGCCTGTAGGTTTCTTGTTTGTAATGAGTTAAGGGCAACCGAGCAAATGGATACTGGACGCATAATGGCAAGTAATGTAATAATCCATGGACACCAGCAACTAGATATTCAAGTGCAATTTGGGGATGCCAAGTACAATTCGCCGCCCCTTTGCAGACATAATTGGTTACCCAATTTTATCAATATTCTAGGAAACATTTTATAAGAAAATCCTTATATTTGCCTTCTTTCCGACAATAAATAATTATATTCATTAAACATTACAAAGGCACCTATTTCTTATTAGCACAAAGCCGACGATTCCAATTAATGGCGTGATGAGCAGCGACGGCTAGCAGGTAGCACTGTAGCAGGCTAATTTCCGGACACTCAGAAAGTAGCGCAACCTATTTGTTCTTTGAATTGTGTGATTTGTTTGTATTTCCAATACTTTATTGTTAACAAAAAGGTTTTTTTTAATCCCAACTAATATTACAGTGCTTAAAAGTGTATCAATTGAAAAAAATAAACACCTTACTCCGAAAAGCTCTATTAGTTTACTATTAACCTTTTGAGTACCGTCATATAGACACAATTAAAGAACAATAGGTTGCGGTCACCGGTGTCCTCGCGGTGTTTGACAGTTTAAGACACCGGGACACGCTGCTCATGAATACGAATACCGGTGTGAAACGAAACAAGTAGAATTTTTCTCGATTAGATCATATGAGTAAAGTGTCTAGTAATTCAGTATGTGACGCGTCTCGTGATGGTTATTACCACAGATATAATAAAGAAGGTTATTACACAGAAATAGAAGTTTAGTTTGTTTACTTGTTTAATTATTAACACTATCTACTGAACCAATCTTCTTGAAATAATTCCTGGTTTATTTTAAGGTTTGAAGTGCATATTTAGACCGTCACCACATATATAAGCTACATACATATATCCACCCAGGTTGTTTCTAAAATAAAATTAGTAAAGCCGTGTTTAAACTGTTCATTTGTAATTTTGTATTGAGTTAGTATTTATATATTTACGTAAAACGATTTGTAGCAAGAGAGCTTTGGTAAAAATCCAATAACATACTTCTTGTGTTCTTGGATTGCGGTACTCGACCAGCACAGCACAAATCACCGTCGTAAATTTAGCAACAACAACGAGGGAGTGTCAGTAAGAGTCTGACACTCCCTCCCGCCTCACCTAGGCGGGAGCAGACATTCGATGAATTTCCCCCTTAAAAAAAATATTCAACAAAAAATCTTAATTAATCCAATATCAGTTTGATACTCCTCCCATCGTTACACTATGAAAAAAAAAAACATTAAAATATTTTAGCATAATATCGATTACATTCAATTTTCTGTCGAGATTATTTGTCATCGATCGCAATCGCAAGTGTAAAGCGATCCTTAGTTCTCATTGGAGCGTAACCGAACCAAGCGAAGGCCGTTTCGGTGACAATAGATAATATTGATATTATTTTTAATTACAGGTTCGATGCTCGATACGGTTCATTTACTTTGTTTATAAGTTTCGTTGTTATTAATTTTTTTGTGAGTAAAAAATTTTTTCTTATATTTTGTAGCTGGTATTCCCCAGTTGTGAATACCTATCTATGCACCTTTATGGCGTTAATTTGTGTCTTATTTTACGACCGAAATGAGTTATTAATTTGAATCAAAAATCTATGACAATGATTTTTTAAATTCTAAAGGATCTCTGTCAAAAACTAAGTTCTAATTAGAGATTTTAGACTGAAGTCGGTTATTATTTTGTCAGTAGCTTAAGTCTAATAAAAGCTCCCTGCGTGGGCTGAGCACCGCCGTGCCCTCAGGGAAGTGATCGGCGATGGCGACCTCTCGCGTCCGGGCCTAGTGCAGGCCATGATGCGGAGCGAGGGGGACTGGGATGCCGTCTCCTCCTTTTGCGAAGCAGTCATGCTAGCTAAGGAGGAGGCGGGACGCGTGAGGCAGCGAAGCGCTGCCTCCTCGCGACCCAGCCATCGCGAAGGACACACCGGGCGTCGGGGATCGCGGGACGATCTCCGGCCACCGTAAGCGCGGGCCTGCGGACGGCGAGCATGGGTGGCTCCCCGTCCGACCAGAAACAGACCCGAGCGTACGGCGCGTCGCGTTCCGCGCGCGCCTCAAAGAGCCATCAGACCACCACAGATGGGGCCCAATAGGGCCGATGCCGATTCGGAGTCGCGGAGAACCTAACGGGTAACCGGGGCTCCGGCTCGACGTGCAGGAGAAGGAACGGGGTGGTTTTTAGTCAGTAAGAGTCTGACACTCCCTTCCGCCTCACCCAGGCGGGAGCAGTCATTCGATGATTTTCCCCCCTTAAAAAAAAAAAAAAGTCTAATAAAAGCTAAAACTTGTTTTATTAAAAACTATCATTACACTACTATTACAAATGTTTGGATGTCTGTCCGTTAATAACGCTGAAACTACTGAACGGATTTTGATGATATTTATAGGTATAGGTATATTTATAGGACGTAGTCGCGGGCAACATCTAGTCTGTTATAAAAGTTACCTGCACTGTAAAGTTTCACGTAAGCTGTTAGTAGGTTTATTCACCTCTTTTTCAATAAATATTGCGGCTCCAACAAAGATTTTCATTAGGTTTGTCATCAAAATGAGCTTTTACTAGAAATAAGTGTATTTCGTTACCTACTGAAGTTTCTATTCTTATAATGAAAATCTAGAACTTCGATCGTTATCGCTTAATATCGATGAATAAAGCGGGACCGTTCTATTAACTATAACTATAAAATAAATATTAAAGCACTTACCTACATTAAAGTAATAAAGATACCTTTATTACATGTAGTTTCTCATTAAAATGGACTTAATACAACTGGATATTTAAGTATGTGACACATACTATGTGTGTTTATTTGAAAGCGCCTATCTCTGGAGTAAAATATGTTTGACTGCGATTATAACGCCTAAAACGGGTATTTATACTACTGTATTATTCCTATAATGTTATACACCATTTACACACGTGGCAATACCATAATGGCCACCATTAATCAAAACGACCGTAACTAACATTTCACACCAATTTATAAACATTCATACAATCGCATTTATTTTCCGCGCCATTTTTGCAAACGCAAAGGAATTTCCATGAACAGCCAACAGATAACATATTGTTCGGCCTATGACATAAGGCCTTAACAAAAAGTGGGCTCGTTTGTAAAACCACTGTAATGTCGACCATGAAATGTATAATGCGATTGTGAATGGATGCAACAAAATAGTTTGTTATCTATTTTTATGATGATGATTACCCCACCTGCCAGGATGTCCTCAATATGTCATCGTGTATCTGATGCCATGGGCAGAGAACAGGGTTGGCGAATGAGAGTCATTGTTCGTTTACTTCTTCTATGGCAGAATTTTAGAAGCAACTTGTTGTATCTGTAAGGGGTGATCTCTATTCCATGTTTAGGTTGTATCAGGTTACATTAGTTTACGAGTTTTGCGCACATTTATCAAGTGTATTCTTTATTCTTAGCTTTACCGACAATACTCTAGTTACTAACAAATCGGTTCAGTAATGAATATTTTTTGTAACGGCCCACAATCAAATACTTAATAGAAATCTATTAAAAAGTACTCCATAGAATTTCAATACAACAAACAATCCAATCAAATATCAATTTTCCATAACGAAGCTAATTTATTTGAAACTTCCGCCAGCCCTGAACGCAACTACTGTTGGTAGTGTACCGCGTTAAATGCGTGTGCGCATTTCATTCAATTTGCGTCGTTGCCGTTGCAACAATCAACTCCTAAGAGATTAAACTGGTAACACGGTTTTAGAATCTCGAGAGACCTTGAATTGCGCTCAGTAATGTAAATTATCCGCGATATGTCAAATGGCCGGATAAATTAACTTTGTTATTCACCCTCCTTTCTCTAAGAAACTGCGGTTTATCACATACAGCCAATAACTAGTTTTCTATTTTCATTTATTTAAGTTCAAACCGCGTTTTATTTTTGCAAAATAATTGTGTGGTGTTAATTAAAGAATTTATAGAAAATTTATTTCGAGAAGGAAGCGGACAATCAAAGCGATTAGTGCTGAACTTTCTCCTGGCCTTTTCTCAAGTGGGTTAGGGTCGGCACTTAGAGTTAACCGGTTGAAAGTCAGTAGTATCAGTATTTTACAAGGATTACCTATCTATCCTATAGAACCATTTTAAATTTTTGAGATCCTCAACATTTTTTATGGAATAAGCCACAGGATTTTTTTAAGAATTAAGGATTTTTGGGGATTGGGGAGATTGGGGAGGTGGGTAATTGGGCCTCTGGTAACTTTACTCACACGTTGAAACATCGCAACTGTTGTTTCATTTCGGTGGTCGGTGGCCGTGGTATAACTCCGGCTCAGCCGACCCAATCGTGCCGAAGCATGGCTCTCCTATACTTATTTTAGAAAATATTTGCAGTTCTGTTTAATTTAACTTCAAAAAACAAAAGAAAGAAATGGTCCAATGATATTTGAAATAAGTTGCGGGGAAAGGCAAGTTTCTTATTAACGCTTAATGTCCATTAGAGCAAGTTAGTGTGATTACGATCATAAACCATAAATACATGTATTAAAGCAAGACGCGACAGTAGCGGATAATTATCTAGAATATCTAAATAAACATGTACCACTGGCCATTTAATGTTTAACGATGTTATATTTAGAAAATGTTATATTATTTACAGTTGACGATGTTACACCTAGGAGATACTATAAAAGGGACTGTGTTAAGCTAAATACTTCAAAATACCAAGGTCGTTATTAAAATCTGAAAAATATTTATAACAAGTCAGAATCCTCCAAGTAAAAGAGACAACTATGTGATGATTAAATAGGAAGTTCCAAAATTGGAAATATTTAAGTGTGGGAGAGCTAGGCTTCGGCACCATACCACGGCCTCACAGAAAACCGACGTGAAGCAACGCTTGCGTTGTGTTTCGTCGTGTGGATGAGGTTATCAGAGGCCCAATTACATCCCCCCCTCCACAATCACCCTCCCTAATCCCTGAATCCCCAACAATCCTCAAATTTCTAATCCCCAAAAGGCCGGTAACGCACTTGTAACGCCTCTGATGTTCCGGGTGTCCATGGGCGACGCCAAAAATTGCCAAAAATCGCCAATCACAAAAATTGGGATTGGAGAAGTCGAAATAACGAATAAGAACATTAGAATCAAGAGTCGAATCGCAATTTGTATTGCAAAAATTACCTGATGATGTTCGTGATCTGCTCTTGAACATCATCGCCCTGCTAATAAAGAAAGATGTATGTAGAGAGTAAAAAAAAATATGTATGCTTACCGAATTGCATGTGTTTATGTCCTTGACGGCGCCGGAGTCGAGGAGATCGACGACTGTGTCGAGCTGACCGGCGCGCGCCGCTCGCAAGAATGCTGTGTTTGGTTCTATCTGTAATTAAGAAACATAATACATTACTAATTTATCATCTTAGTCCTTTAGAAAGAAAATATAAGTTTTAAATTTTCCTAATGCTACACTGGTGCTATTTCATTTCCTGAATCTGTAAAATTTTAGGAAAATAATCTTAATTCGGGAATACGTCTTATGTAGGTACGTACCATCTATCAATAAATTACAAGATTATCAAGAAAAACATTCAGTTCTTCACATAGAGTGTGGCAAAACGCACAAAATGTCATGATCCCATCCATAGCTACAAAGGGTTATCACTTCAGAAGTAATCTAACAACACCATGAAAGTAGAAAATATTCTCACAAAGAGCAACAATCACATGTGAAGTTAGATTAATCATTGCCCTTTGGCACTCAATTGTCAATATATGATGACAGGGTATGAAAATCAAAAATCCAGTTAGTCCGTCAGTTAGATAATGAAAAAATATTAGACACGTATTTTTTTTTTATTTGGTTGTATAATAAAATAATACTTAGATATAACGAATCAACGTTTAGGATTGGGGGCTAAAACGTCTTTTCTACGTATAAAATGTACATAGAAGTGACGTCATGTGACATTTCAAATCAATATATCGTCGAAAGTATACGTTTCTGTAAAAAAATAAAAAATACGTGTGTAATGTTTTAAAATAATCTACCAGACGGACATTAAAATAAAAATTAGTCATCTACCCTATTCTAATTACCTACCAGTCGTTGACAAAATGCCTTATCCAAACATTAGGGCTATTCTAACCTCTAAAGTTCTAAGTTAGTGTTTAGTTTCTTGATTAAACTATTACCTACATGAACTAGAATCAAAATAAACATTGTCTATTGTAACACGATCAAGTATTCATGACATTTACATTGCGTGACTAACAACTAAGCTGAATATTTTACGTTCCAAATCATGAATGAACACTGAATTGATGTTTTCGATTAATTTTTGACTGTGTCATTAATATTTATTGAGGTGGCTAATAATAGAAGTAGATATAGCTATTAGAATACGATATTAACATCATGGAAATTGGAAATGTAACAGAAATCTGAAAGAATACGTCCAAAAAATTTGACGAGCCGCCTTAATGATGGGTAGTAGCATCATCCAAAGTCTAAATGTTTCGGTTACTTATCCCCAAGCCGCCTGCTAAGTATAAAAATTATACAGAGCCGCGGATGGCCTAATGGGTTGCCGGGGCTCCGGCTCAAAGAGCAGAAGTAGGAACGGGGTGGTTTTTAGTCAGTAAGAGTCTAACACATCTTGCCTTTTTTTTTTTTTTTTTTTTTTTTTTTTTTTTAAGGGGGAAAATCATCGAATGACTGCTCCCGCCTGGGTGAGGCGGAAGGGAGTGTCAGACTCTTACTGACTAAAAACCACCCCGTTCCTTCTCCTGCACGTCGAGCCGGAGCCCCGGTTACCCGTTAGGTTCTCCGCGACTCCGAATCGGCATCGGCCCTATTGGGCCCCATCTGTGGTGGTCTGATGGCTCTTTGAGGCGCGCGCGGAACGCGACGCGCCGTACGCTCGGGTCTGTTTCCGGTCGGACGGGGAGCCACCCATGCTCGCCGTCCGCAGGCCCGCGCTTACGGTGGCCGGAGATCGTCCCGCGATCCCCGACGCCCGGTGTGTCCTTCGCGATGGCTGGGTCGCGAGGAGGCAGCGCTTCGCTGCCTCACGCGTCCCGCCTCCTCCTTAGCTAGCATGACTGCTTCGCAAAAGGAGGAGACGGCATCCCAGTCCCCCTCGCTCCGCATCATGGCCTGCACTAGGCCCGGACGCGAGAGGTCGCCATCGCCGATCACTTCCCTGAGGGCACGGCGGTGCTCAGCCCACGCAGGGCATTCCGCTACGGTGTGTTCCACCGTGTCCTCAGGGCGGTCCTCGCAGTGATGACACCCGGGCGTTTCCTCCCGCCCCATCAGACACAGGTACCTCCCGAAACTTCCATGTCCGGTGAGGACCTGCGTCAGGCGTAGGTGAGGACGCCGTAGCGTCTCTCAAGCCACTCCTCAAAGAGGGGACTTACCGCTGCAATGGCAGCGAGCCCAGCCCTCGGTTGCGACAGTCGTTGCTGCCATTCCGCCATGAGATCGCGCCGGAGCTCATCCCGCCACGCACTTATCTGGCGCGGCAGCGGAGTTTCGCCCCGGCGACGTGCCTCCGCGCGCATGTTATACACGCGCGCGAGCACCTTCGCCTCCAGATCCCACGGCGGTAATCCGGCAAGGAGGTTCGCCGACTCCCCACGATCGTGCGGTATCCGCGGATCATTCGGATCGCCATGACCCTCTGTGACTTGAGCAGCGTCCGAGCAGGACGCCGCAACAAGTTCGGCGCCCAAACAGGGGCGCCGTAGAGGGCCATGGACCGCACGACCCCGGCGTATAACCTCCGGCAGGAGGCGTTTGGCCCCCCGAGGTTGGGGAGGATGCGTTTGAACGCAGCCCCCGTCCTCTCCAACTTTGGAGCCAAACGTCGGAAATGCTCTATGAAGTTCCACCGACTGTCGAGGACGAGTCCTAGGTACTTCATCGCCGTCTCGACGCCGATGGTAACCCCTCCCGCCGTTATTTGGGACCCACCCGGAGGTGGCGCGTTCCCGCGGCCATGAAAACACATGGCCTCGGACTTGTGGAGCGCCACCTCGAGTCCCAACTGCCGGATTCTTTCAACGACTGTCGCAACCGCTGTCGCCATTAAGTCGGCCGCCGCCTGGTGCGACCTCCCGTGCGCTAGCACCAGCGTGTCGTCGGCGTAGCATATTGTGCTAACGCCGTTCGGGAGGTCGGTGCGCAGCACCCAGTCATAGCCGATGTTCCACAGGAGCGGCCCCAGAACCGAACCCTGTGGAACACCGCGTGACATCTCTCGCCGGTTCCACTCGCCCCGGTGACCGGGGTAGCTGACGGACCTGTCCGTCAGGTAAGCCTCGATTACACGACGGAGGTAGGTAGGCACCCGATGATATCGGAGTGCCTCCAAGATGCAGCTCCAGGGCAGGGAGTTGAAGGCGTTGGCGATGTCCAGAGACACCGCCACTACGACCTTACCCCTGGACACTGCAGTCCCCGTCGTGAGGTCTCTAACGCGCATGATGGCGTCCACCGTGGAGCGCCCTCTGCGGAAGCCGAACTGGCCGTCCGACAAGTCCGGCCCAATGTCCGTCAGGTGCGCGACGAGGCGGTTCGAAATGATTCTTTCGAAGACTTTCCCCACCTCGTCGAGCAGCACTATGGGCCGGTACGCGGACGGAGAGTCCGCAGGGCGCCCCGTCTTCCGCACGAGGACCAGTTTGCCCGCTTTCCAGAGAAGCGGGAACTGGCCTCTCTCCAGACATGCGCTGTAGAGACCAATCAATCGAGGCCCGAGAGCCTCTGAGGCCAGGACCCATGCCTTGCCATGCAGGCCGTCGGGTCCTGGGGCGGTGTTCTTGGCGCCCATCCGGCGCACCGCCGCTCTCAATTCTGCCTCGGTCACCTCTGGGACGATGTCATCGTCGTCGTCGCTGTAGCCCGCGTCGGGCACCGCAGGGGGCGGAGTCATATACGGAGGGGTGAAGCCCCTCCACAGTCGGGGAACAGGGCGCCAATCACCTCCTCCAAGACTTCTGGCCGGAGACTCTGAGTGAGCGGGGGAGCCCAAGCACGGAGCTTGTCGCGTACCATCAGGTACGGGCGTCCCCACGGGTCTCTATTCAGAGTCCCCAGCATCTCTCGGCGGGCCTCCTCCTTGGCCCGCAATATCTCCGCCTTGAGGAGGGCCTTCGCCGCCCTGTATCCCTCGTATAACTCCGCCTCTCTCGCCTCCGCATTAGGAGGACGGATACGGCGCCTGCGGTGCCTAGTGTACTGGCGTCGCGCAGTAGTGCACGCCTTGCGCAGAGCCGCCAGCTCTTGCGACCACCAGTACACCTGGCGCTTCTGTTGCCTCGACCGGATCCGGGGCATCGCCACGTCACAGATCCTGGACATGGCGTCCTGGAGCCACTTGGCCTCATCGTCAACGTCGGCAGGCCTGACCGGTGGTATCACCCAGGCCTGCACGATGGCGGCTTCCAGGAGCAGCTCCCGGTCCAGCTGTTTCAGCGCCCAACGCGGGCCACATGGGGCCTGTCTGACCGGCGGGTCTGCGGACTCGGCGGAGACGTCGAACCGGATATACCGGTGGTCGGAGTACGTCTCCACCTCCTCCATGACGCGCCAGCCAACAATACGCGGTGACAGAGCAGGGCTGGCGAACGAATGTCCACCACCGACTCGCCCTGCATCCGCACACACGTGGGGACAGAACCCCGGTTCAGGACGACTAGGCCTGTCTCAAGGGCCCAGTCTTCCACCATCCTACCCCGGACGTCGGTGAACCGGGAACCCCAAGCCAAGTTTTTGGCGTTGAAGTCCCCGAGGACGAGCACGGGGAGGGAACGGAACCCGACGACGACAGTGACCAACTCCCTCAAGGAGTTGTGGAACTCGGCGAGAGTTCGGTTCGGAGAGAAGTACACGCCCACCACAGCGAGCTCTCCGAACCGTGCTGCGACACAACCCCGGCCTCTTTGAGCAGCCTCAAGAGTCGGGGTACCGGCGGCGGCCGACGAGATGATGGTCACCGAGCCGTCCAGGTCCGCCACCCAGTGATCCCTGGGCAGGACAAAGTACGGCTCGGAGACCACGGCGACATTGATCGACCACTGCGCCATGCTCTGGAGCAGGAGATCCTGAGCAGCGGCGCAGCGGTTGATGTTCGCCTGGAGGAGGCGGAATGGGGCCATTATTGGCAGTCCATTCCGATCTCCTCAGTGGCGGCAGCGGCGACTGCGGTGGCAGTGGCGGCGGCGGCGGCGGAAACGGCAGGGGCGGCGGAGGGCCTACCTTTGCCCTTGGGTTTGGCGGAGGGGAGCAGCCTTGCTCCCGACCCGGTGATTGGCCGGCTTGCCAGCCGCCGCACATGCATTGCAGTGCAGCGGGGCGGAGCACGAGCCGGCCTT